AGCCGTTGCCGCGCCCGCGCCTTCCCCGCCCGCCCGGCGCCGCGCTCCGCCCCTCCCTCGGGACCCGCGCCCCCAGCCAAGGTCACTGCCGCCCCGCGCCCCGCCGCCAGCATAGCCCCGCCCGGACACTCACCCCGTGTCCCCTGCCCGGGACCCCCGCCCAGCCCTGCTTGTGTGCGGCCCCTCCCGAATCCCTGCCCCGCGCACACAGGCTCCTCTCTGCCCCCAGGAGATCGCTAGGACGCGGGGACGCAAAGGGGGTGGGGTCAGCTTCTTTCCGAGTCCGGAGTGGGAGCTGGCCCGCCCAGGATCACCCCTGACAACCAGGGGGCAAGAAGGGAACAGAGCCGAGGTCACCCGGAGGACAAAGGGAAGGAGCAGTTGGCAGAACTGCAGATAAGGGGGCTGGGGGAGCAGAATGGGACACCCTGGGGTTGATGGGGGTCGTGGCCCAGCTCAGGGCCCTGCACCAGGGAGGTGCCTTGGTAGAATTCATCAGTAATCAATCAACCAATAAACAGATGAATGAGAAGGCAGAGGTGGCCCCAGGAGGCTGGAACAATGGGGTGTACCTGGAGACTACTCCCCCATCCCAGGGGTTTGTGGGAGGGGGAGACAGAAAGGAAGTAAAGGTGGCCTAAGTCTGGGTTGGTGCCCCTAAGGGCAGCCCACCAAAGGGGAGATGGCAGGTGAGCCCTTGATGGGTCTGGAGGGCCTTTTGAGGGTGGGGGGTGGACAAAGGGGGCTGAGGGAATGGTTTTTCCATGTCCTGGTGTGAAAATATTTATCTTCCTCCAATAGGTAACTCAGAGAATAAATGTCCACCTTTTGGGAAGTGTCTGTGCATTTGGCATATCTGTGTACCTGTTTAAGCTCACAAGATGCCATCACTCCCTCCCTCCTGAAGACCTGGAGGGCAGAGGCTCATCTCAGAAGAGATCAGAGTTCACGGTGTAGCCACCGGGCTAGGTACAGGAGGCAGTCCCAGGCTCCAAGCCTATTAGAGGAAGGTACCCCTTGACTGTGAGGCCTACACTAAAGTCCCACAAGGAGGGGTTTCTGGGGCCAGGGCAGTCAGAGGGTGAAAAGAGGCTCTCTGAGAGGTGGTGAGCTCCTCATCATGAGTTGTGTGAGCAGATGGTCAGCTGGAGCCCAAGAGCCCCTCTGGCTCTTGGCTCCTTGATTCTCACTGACCCACCATTTCTGTGGCTCTGGTGAGGCAAATTCTTCTGGGAATTGAAGGGCTCCACTTATCCCTGACACAGCGCCTCCACTGCATCCCCAGGCCTCTCCTGCCTGGACCATCCCACCGGCCTCCTTCCCAGGAATCATCCTCTTCAGCTGTCTTCCGCTCTGGCATTAAATGCCCAACCTGCAACACAGGCCTCCCCTGCTCTAACACTGCTCGTGGCTCCCTTTGCCTCTGGGTCAAGGTCCAGCTTCTCAACCTGGTGTTCAAGTTCCTCCACCACCGGAGCTCTCCTGCTTTCCCATCCTCACCCCGAACGTCTCCCTCCTACCCTGTCCAGGCCCCCTTGAGGCACCTCAGAGGGAGGCCTGGCCCCAACGCTTCATCTCGGTGTGCTACCAGCCAGTCATGGAGACAGCCTAGCAGACAGATCGTGGCCTCTGGACTGGGTGGCCATATCCCAGTCAAACACCCCTCTGAGTCTCAGTTTCCCCTTCTGTGAATGAGGCTCACTGCTGTCTGGCCTCTCAGGGTTGCTGGGAGCAATCAGGATGATGTCCACTTAACGTGGGGCTGTTAGGCACACAAGCACTGAGATGACAGCCCCACTTCAAATGCCTGCCTGCTTTCGTCTCCCGAGTGACCGCCCGGCGCTGGGCCAGGCCTCTGGCCTCTGGTAGGTCTCCGGCTCCTCTGGGCACCAGCTCAGGCTGGGACAGGCTGACTCATATGCAGGAGCGTGGGCACAGAAGCAGTGCCACTCTGCAGGTGCTATTTATAGCTCCCAGGTCAGGCTCTCTGCCTTAGGAGCCAGGGGAGGCCAGGGCCCACAGTCCCCTCCTTGCATTCCCCAGGGGCCCAACCCCCACCTCAGCACCCCAAATTAGAACGGCGGGACCCCCTCCCCTGTGGCCAGAAGGGATAGCCCTGGCTTTCGTTGAGTGTAGGAGTGTGTGTGGGGGACAGTCACGAGCTCTGCCCCCTGTGGAAACTGAGGCTCAGAGAAGGGAATCAGCCTAAATGCAAGGGACAACCATGCACCTGCAGTCCCCGCTCCTTGCCCAGCCTTGCAGCCCGTGGGACTTCTCCTTGCCCTGGTGCTCCAGAGGGGCGCCACACCAGCCTCGCTTATCCCACCCCAGACCCGGCCCAGTTGCAGCTGCCTGGTGGGAGGTAGGCAGCTGGGTCGAATTCTCTGCTTTCTGTGCTCCCAGATTAATGCAATTATGCAGTCGAAGCAGAGGCTGGACCCCATGACGAAAGCCTCTCACAGATGCCGTTTGGCCCACCAAGGTTTTTTTGTTTGCTTTTAAGTTTAGTGTCAACATTTTTTTTTTTTAAGATTTTTATTGGGGAATTGGAGGAAGGGGAACAGACAAGTTGCTGTCCTTTTGTTCTTCAGTCTAGTTGTGGAGGACGTTGCTTCACTGGCCCAAGTTGG